TTGAGATATATATACTGCTCAAAAGTTTAGAGTATTTTTTTTTATTAAGGCTGCGTTTAATTAAAAATACAGTAAAACAGTAATATTGTTTAAAAATATTACAATTTAAAGTAACTTTTCTATTTTAGCATATTTTAAAATCCATGTATTATGTTATAACTGTTTCAGTTTTGTGCTTTAATAATGGTTATTATAATATTAATGATAATGCTAAATGATACACAAGTCAATATGAATATGAATATAAAGAAACACTTTTTGTTGATGAAGCCGTAGAGCTTTACTGATAGAGCTATGGGAGTACAAAAGACAAAAGGTTGGGAAACACTATTTCTAACTGGGTTAAATGCTCATTCAACTCTTTTGTAGAAACTTTCCTTTAGCCTATAGTTCATCTCCATATACAGCAGGGCTGTTGAGATTGGCATCAATTATACATATGGATATTTGAGAGAAACAGAAAAGCCCCATTAGATTCTCATAAAGGGTTTCTCTGAATCGTCCTGTCTTATTATACATCAAGCACAACAGCCAGAAGGAGACCTAGAGGACAAATGCATTAGATAAATGATCAAATGAAGTATAAGTGCCATTTCAGACACTGCTTACATGACCTTTAAACAGCTCTGACATTTTCTGCTTTCCTTTTAAGTTAAATAGTCTGTATAGAAAAACATATAGAGATAGAGACAGAGAGCACATTTTGTTTACATTACCACTTAAGTGGATCATCAGTATCTCACCAAGAAAAAGACCATACAGAGCTATTCATAATCCTAGGACCCCCGAGCGTTTGGGTCCTTGAGCTGTAGCGGGGTTGACAGTGGCAGAGAGTTAGATAAATGGGGAAGGAGCACCCCGATCAATACTAACCTGGACTGCCCACCCAGGAGAGAGAGACAAGAATTGGGACAGAGTGGTAAATATGAGCTTAACAGATGGAAGCATCTGTGAGCTTCTTCTGAAAGTCTTATAACATTGTATACGCCTGTGCCGTAATGGCACATTAAATCTGTGGTAAGACAATGCCTGCTGTCAGTGTGAGCATTTCCTCTTACGAGGCAAGAAGTAGATATTGTTACTCATTAAAATCCCATCAGCCAAAATCATAGTATTCAGTTTTCTACAATAGCTGTTCGCAATTTGCTGTTAGTATGCAGTGTATGGAGTCATTATCTGAACTATATTAAGATGACTAATTAGCAATCTTTTAAAAATTCATCACTTAGATTAAGTACATAGATGAAACCTATACATGGTTATGAAGAGTCTAGAACGTGTGCATTATATCATTAATTCCTTGGATTGCACAATGTTATATTAAAGGGGTCATATGATGCGATTTCAATGTTTCCTTTCTCTTTGGAGTGTTACAAGCTCTTGGTGCATAAAGAAGATCTGTAAAGTTGCAAAGACTAAAATCTCAAATCCAAAGAGATATTCTTTATAAAAGTTAAGAGTCAACCACACCTACCTAAAACGGCTTGTTCTAACACGCCCCCACATGTCTACGTCACGATGTGGGAAGATTTGCATAACGCCGCCCAAATGTTTACGCAAAGAAGTAAGGCGTAACTTTTATTAACTTTTATTAACTTTTAGTAACTCTGCCGCCATGTCGTGAAGGCGCTGTGTGTTTCGTTGTGAAAGCGAAACTACTTTGTTTGGTCTTCCAAAAGAGGATGATATCTGCTTCGTCATGCCTGGAGCTGATCCGTGCTGGTCGCTGAGGAAATACATCAACTTTGCGCTGTGGATCGCCGGATCGGCTTTCACCGTGGACGAAGCGGAGTCCAGCCCGGGGTCGTCACATGTGGTTGCGGCAAGCCCGCCGGACGCTCCTTCGTCGAATCCGCCGCCTCTGCTCACTCTAGGCCGTTGTGTGTGATGCTGTGTTTCGTTGTGAAAGTGAAACTACTTTGTTTGGCCTTCCAAAAATGGACACGACTAGAAATCAGTGGTTAAGTTGTATTTACAACACTGTTCCAGAACACTTCAACCCAAATATTCAGATGTGTGCAGCACATTTTATGGAGGACTGTTTCCTGATCCTGGGAGAGTAGACTACAATGCCTGCTGTTCTGACTCACAGACTGTAAGTACGTTTTTTTATGTAAGTACGTTTTTTATATTTTATATTTTTTATATTTAAAGCGAGTTTTTTGGGCAGTGTAGAGTAGTTCTTGTTGTTTGTCATTTCTCCGATCACACATGCAGACATGGTTTTATGTTTACGTGGCGTGATGCAACGCGTAAAAAGACAGTATAAGTTATTATAATCCATAATTATGTCCCCACTGGATGCAATGAATGCTTCGTTTATAATGGGTTTTCATGTTTTTAAATCATCGCTCCGGCCTAGCAGGGCATCATCACAATATGGTGAGGGGCGTAACATTTCCGTCTCACGCTTGAGGTATTTGGCCAATCATAACGCACTGGATAGCTGGCCAATCAGCGTACACCTCGCTTTTCAGACCGATGAGTTTTGTAAAAATCGACGCGTTTCAGAAAGGCGGGGCATAGAGGAGAAACAACAATGTACAGTATGTGGAAAATAATGTGTTTTTTTAACCTTAAACCGCATAAACACATTTCATTACACCAAATACACAAAATAATGTTCTTTTTAGCAAAATCATATGACCCCTTTAAGACATTTATGTGAGATATATTTAAGGAGACTGGAGGTAATTGTCACAGAATAAAGTTCACAAGGACTGTATTTTAGCAACTGTAAGGTTGCCACATACCTTTTAAATGCAATATATATTTTTTCTAACAATTTATTAATTGCAGTATTTATTGCCCAATTCAATTGTTTTTTCTGTATAGAAAAAAATGCAAATAGTCCATAACATTTAATGTACCCTATACAGTGTGACAAAAGGTCAATGTGAGTCAAATACATTTTCTTTGTCTAATCTAATTGTCTATTTTTTTCCTGAGCGATAATGGTGACAATTTTAACAGCTTCTTTATAGTCAAGATTGTATAGTACGTGTCTATACAAAAATAATAAACATTCACTGCAGTATAAAATGTGACTAGTCACAATCTCATTTTATATTTAATTATTTCTTTAATTTCGTGACACACATTTTTAGTTACAAAATGGTCTCAGTTGACAATATACACACGTCACCTAACGCTCTGTTTTACTCTCTGAATAACATTCAGAGATATTTCCACATGTTCGGTGCATAACATCTGTGCCACAATTCTACACTATTCTATTCTCCAGGCAAGGACGATGATGGTATGGAAATGTCAGGAAGGATAAATCCTACGGATTTATGTCATTCCATTTGCACCAAATTCCTACATTCAAAGGTCACATCAATAAGTCTTTATTTGAACCACATGCATCATTAATCATTCAAACTCACATCTGTCATCACAGAGGACTAATGTGCTGTCTATAGATCTGTCCTGCTTTGAGGGTCACCCTTCACTTTAAAAAGTGTCATTGATTTCTCTGCTTTCACACCAAAGACCTGTGAATATGTGACATTCTGTTTCAGTCTGAATTTTCTTTTTCAATGTGACAAATTACTCAAATACAATTACATGTAATAAAATGATTAATGATTAAATGGAAAAAAAAATAAATAAACAATCATCTGAGAAACATAAGCAATATCACATGAGCATGGTAATCTGCAGCCTTGATAATCCTAAAAACAGCACAACTGCGAGTGTTATATTGTCAATCCAGTTTTATTAAACAACAGGTTAATACTGAGTCACTTACATTTAGCTTTATCTGTTTTTGGTCCGCCAACACAACTAGTTCCAAAAAATTCCAACACACAGTAGTGGTGTTTCATTCCTGAATAAATCAGCGTTTTTGAACACATTGGTTGAATGAATGATTCAGTGACTCACTCATAAAGACGCACTTGTTTCATCCATGAATGAATCAGATTGTTTGAACGAATTGGCTGAATGAATGACTCAATGATTCACTCATAAAAACAGTCACTTGTCGCCACCTACTGGTGTAACATGTAACCTACAAAACAACACTAATGGATTACAACTATTCATAAAAATTATAACATCTTTATCTGAATGACAAATTAATAATTCACACTGTCAGTTAATCAATACATAAAAAATTACCATCTTTGGCTAATGAGCAAATTACACAGGTCATAGAGTGATTTATTGTAGAATAAGCGCTTCCTATAAATCATCAGCAGCACATTCATATGACAGTTGCTAAGCTTCTCCTTAGTTGTAAACATCCCCAAACAAACTAATTGGGCCACATAACTCTGCATATGGTATAAAAAATTACTGATATTTTATGCCTTTTGTAATCTTTAACTTAATTTTGAACTTTTGTTTACCAATAATACATTCTGTAGAAAAGAAAATCCTTTTTGAGCAGCTGTTAAATGAAGGATGGTTTTGCACTCTGCTTATGAAATGAAAGGAGAAATGAAAGACATTGCTTATTAGGTACAGAACAACCTCTTGTAATTTCTTCCTCAAAAGAAGCATTTATAAGCAGAACAAAAATAGTGCCTAATTATGCGTTCTTCAGCAAACTACAGAGATTTTGTCTAACCATGAAAGCATTTCTTAAGACTGCAAGCACAAAGGGATTTGTGACTAGATGTAATGCTTCTCTATTCTATATATTTCTGTTTTTAACATGCCCATATTTACATAAATGTGCAAGTGTTGTTATGTTTTTATGACCCTTTTAACCAAAGGACCGGCCTCTTTAAAGCAAACGACATAGAGCATCAAATGGTGGTTTGGGGGCGTCTGACAGAGCTTAATGTTTATCTCCCACCGTTCAGATATTTGTGCTACAGTACAGTTCATGCTGTGCTTGTTATGAATTATGAAAAAGACTGAATTATTATGTAACTTGCTTTTAAAAGGTTGAGTTTCCACCTTTGAGAATTTGAAAAAAGGTTAAATCATTACATTGGATGGCTTGATGAAAATAATTGTGATGCTATTTTTCTTTCTCCTTTTTTCAGAAGACCACTGGGGACTTTGCAATACATCAGAGGGTAAGTGTGATAGATGTTCAATGTTTTTTTTTTATTAATGCAAAATTAAATCCATACATTCCAATCTGATATGATTTGCCTATAAAAATAGCACATTTTCTAACAAAATATAAAACCAGATGCCTGACATTTATAACTGTTTTTATTTATTTATTTTTGTCCTCTGTTTTTCTTACTGCATTTATAAATAACATATTGATTACAAAAAATCAAATCCAAGTTGATGGCGGAGGAAAAAGAGAATTTGAAGGTTCAATGCAGTGGGCAGCGTTTTCTTGTCAGTCTAACAAAAGCATCACACTGCCTTGTGTTAAAAGTTCAGCAGGGTAAATCTTTATCACTGTCAAACCTTCATTGTAAAGTACTGTTTTTGTTTAGTCCTCAAACAAAAACAATGTCATGCAAATGGCAGCATACAGTGTAACAAAACAGCATTTCAGTCCATTTAATTGCTGATTTTGCTTCACACAGGGAAAATTGTGGTCTCTACCAACCCAGGAGCTAAATCAATGCAAAGACATCACTCAATTGTGAAGCTCACCTCCCCTCCTTCCTAAAAATCATTTGAAATACCTCTGTATATGAGAGATGTACATAAAGACAATCAGGGGAAAATAAAAATACACCATAGACTGGCCACTCCTCATGCCAGTCACACTTAAAGTAACACCTCTCGCAAAATAAGCGCCATAAGTGGCCCACACTAAAGAAAACAATAGCAGCCTATGTCTGATAACAGATAGAGAGGACGTGTAAATAAACCACACTGTGCATGAAATCAGTGGAGTCCAATGCTTTTTTTAAGTCCTGCAAATGCACTCAGCCTCATAAAGGATCTTTATTAGGCCCACACTGGGGCACTTTGTCAGGTTTTGATGTCTCGGAGACACCAATGACTGTTATATCTCTGCTGGTAAAGAGCAGGGCCCAGATGAAAAATTAAATAGAAAAATGAATGGCTGTCCACAAAGACAAATTATAGAAGCTGGTTATTTCACATAGACTAGGTTCACACAAAGTACATCTACTGTTCAAAAGTATATATATATAATGAATTAATTATTATTATTATTATTATTATTATTGAAAGTCTCTTATGTATGGGAGCTTGTTTCTGCCACAGGGTAAAAAAATAAAATAAAATCAGAAATCCGAGATTTAAACTCAGAATTTCAGGATATAAAAATTTTAATATTACAATGAAATTTAATTTATAAAAAAATAAAATTTCAAAATATAAAATGTCTGAATTGTGAGATATAAACTTGCAAATGCAAAAATAACATTTAAAATTATGAGATAAATGTCAACAGAATTGCAAGATTTAAACTGAGAATTCTGAGGAAAAAGTCAGAATTTCGAGATGTAAGCTCAGAATTCATTGTTTATTTCATGCAATTCTGAAAACAGTTTAAGATTCTTTGATTAATAGAAAGTTTAAAAAAAACAGCATTTATTTGAAACTTGTAACAGTGTAAAACAGTCTTTACTGTCACTTTTGATAAAATTTTATCTGTCCTCGCTGAAGAAAAGTGTTAATTTCTTTCAAAAATAAAACTTACTTCCCCAAACCTTTGAACAGCAATATGTTTACATGCGGTTTAAAAACTAGTTCGGACTACAACAATAATTTGTCTATTTAAATGCTAAAAGAATGCTTAAAAATGCTAAATGCTTAGAAAAATAATGAGTTGTGACTTTTCATTTTCATAATAAAGTGTGTGTAAACTGTATTTAGCACTAAGGACAGATACTGTATTCTGCTTTGGTGTGAATATAGCCACACACACAGCTAGACCTTCTCCCTCCAAGATGAGAATGGATGGATTCAGGGTCCGGACTTCAATTCACAGAAAGGCTTTTGTAGTTAAAAGGCCAGACCGTTATATTACAGCATGGCCTTTTTCAAAAGCATTTGGCAGAAAGTGGATTAAGTTATTGATTTGTGGAAAATGTCACAGCATAAATATTTGCGTTTTAATAGAGTACAGTGCAATCAGTGTTGACTTGTCTCAATGAGTTTTTCATTTCAGCTCTACAGCTGGAGCGAGCAGAAACTGTTGCCACAATTCATGCGCTTCTCAAATAAGGGCTTATGTGTTCAGCATTGCTGAACGATTAGCATGCAAAACGAAATGAATTGCTTTCATTGATTGAGTTTCACACTGTTATTAACAGCAATGAAGACAGACAAGAGGCCATGGATGACTTGGCTCTTTGTGGCGGAAAACGTTGACGTTAAAGCATATATCTCGTGGGATCTCACTTAACCTTTTTGTTTCGCAGCTTAAACGTGATAAATGACTGCATTAAATGAAAGTGAAACATTTTATTATCCTTGACAGCTGTGGAGTACCTTGGCTTTCAGGCCTTTTCTTTTATGTGGAATTTGACTGTTAACTGACAATAGTTCATTGTCATTTACTGGTATTATCTGTTGCAGATTATTTTATTTATTAATTAATAGCATGAATCACCATCTCTGAAACTTACTTTACCTCAAACTTTTAAACTAGGTCATCTGTTGGAGAATGCATGAGGTAGTCCCTTAGTTTTATACATATATATATATATATATATAATTTTTTTTCCTTGAGGTCAGTCCTCAGAGATCCTTTTTAGGAAGTTTGGAGGCCATTATGTCACCAGGACAAAAAGGGAAAGATGCCATTTTAATTAAAGTTGGCAGATTTACCATCCACATAGGTTTTAAAACATCACCCGTCTGTGCAGATCGAGGCCGAAGTACCAGCGATAAAAATGATTTATGCTAGCCAGGGCAGCGGAGAGATTTCTCTAAGGAATTGGTGGAGGGATTAGCACAGGCATTGGAAGCCTGTACTGTAATGAGGAGGAATGGCATTAGATTCATACCCTTAAAAACGAATGGCGCAGCCGGGCCAAACAATCAGTTACTCTACCTCAACATGGGCCCTACCTCAACTCCTGCATTGAGACTTATTTTCAACCTGGGATAAGAAGACAAAGGATGGTAGATCTGGAAAGGAAAAAAAAAAAATCCCATTTTTTCATTAGGCTGTTTAATTAGTTTCACACTAGTTTAAACCAGTTATATTGGAAGACTATGAATGACAATCAATGAGAAAATTAATTAACAACAGGACATGCTGATTAGTGAATCAAATTAACTGTATATATCTGTGCTGTTATTGTTAACTAAAACTATTCAAAATCGTTTTCAGTAACTAACATTAAATGAGTTGCCTTGGCAACTAATTGAAATAAGTTTAAGTTAAATTACTAAAATTACTACAAGTAAATAAAAGAAAGATAAATAGATGTATTTAAAAAAAATAATAATAATACAAATTACAAAAACCAAACACTATTATTAACAATAAAATTTAAATTATTAAAAATATTAAAAATAAAATCTTAATAATACTAAAATAACACTTAATATTTGCTGAGAAAAATCCTCCAGGTCATAAAAATAAAAATTAAAGACATTGGATTACTGAAGTAGACATTATAAAAAGTGGCTGAATGATTCAGCTTTTTTGAACTAATCATTTGCGAATAATGTAATGACTCACTAATTAAGACAACCACTTGTTTATTTTCTGAATGAATGTTTTTAAGCATAATGGTTGAATAAATGATTCAATGACTCACTCATAAAGAAAGTCAGTTGTTTAGTTTATGAATTGCTTGAATAAGTGATTTAAATGACTCGATAGAAAATCGGATGTGTGTCAGATCCGAGTCATCATGTTTTAAAGAGACAGCACTGATTTGAAAGTGAAACCTGCTGAAGTCTGTCATTGATGTATATCAAAGAACAAAAGAAAAAGAGAAATCCTTGGACTGTTCTAGTCGCTGATCAACTTTTATAGCTTGAATAAAGATTCATATGTATAGTTTATGCATATATAATATAATTATGTGAAGATTGTTTTAAAATCACTTAAATTAAAAGTTATATATTTCAGAGCCTATTAAATGTTAAAAATAATGGCTTTCAATTATACTGTAATGTTGAATGGCTATAATTAATAGGGAAAATTGAGGGAAAATGCACCAGCAGGACAAATTGAAAACATTGTAAATATGTTTAGTTATTGTAGTAGTATAACTGCCTGTTTTTGCAAAAAGATTTTCATGGCCGGTAAAAAAAAATTTGCCATTGGCAGGTGTGGCAAAAAGTTAATTTTAGGCCCTGTTTTAGATACTCTTTTCCACAGTACAGTTTCAGTGCTAAATAAAATTATAATTCCCGTTCCAAGATATACTATTTAAAATTCAATGAAACATTTATAAGTCTTCATCTAGTACAGATCATTATTTTTGTGGCTGTAGGATCTGCACCTCTCTGTTATAATAGAGAGACAGCCTAAATCCCTTAATTATAATCCTGATCTTCCAGTTGCATGTCCTTAGTTAGTATGCTTTCAGCCAAGAAAAATCCTGTGCACAAAGAATCCAAAACACTTGGACTGGTTCCCTTAAGCTCACATCTTTACATGTTTACAGAAAAAGAGTACCAAGGAAAATGAGAGCTTGCTTTGTTGATATTACCACTTTGACCTCAGTACAGTTTAGAGTCAAAGACTAGCTCTCATAGCGCTCAGTTGTTGGTAATGGTCTCAGAAGCTTCGTTTCTATACTTAGGCAGCCAGTTTTGAGGAAGAAAAGACTAATGTTTGAATCATTTATGTGTGCAAAGGGTCTGCAAAGACTCCAGGCACCAGATGCTGGAGAAATGAAGGCAGGACCTTCAAAAAAATTACACTCCCTTTGTTTCTCCACCTCAAACAGCTCATTCTGCTGTGAGTCCCTCTTTCTCATGAAACAAAGCTGAATTGATTCAGTGAAAAGATAATCATATTATTCCTCTCCCCCATGGAGAGACAAGACGATTGCATCTCTGGCGTGGTGTTGTCTGTCAGCATTGGAATTGTTAATTAGCACCTGGAAGCTCATATTTTATGCCTCCCCACAGCACATTTGAGAGGAGGCTATTCGTAAACTGTTCATGT